GAGAAGATCTGCATTCACTCCAGCAATTTTCAAGGAGCAGTCATTTTTTAAATGATATTCTTGGTTGGAGGAACCTGAGGATCACTCAGGTGGTATGAAATCAGCAGGGCGAGGGAGCATTTGTGTTAGTTGTGAGAGGTCATATTTTTCTTCGTATTTTAAAGTTCTAAGTATTTTCTAATTTTCACTTCAACTTCAATTGAATTTGGAAGTATTTTTAAATTTCCAAACCTTTGGTATTGCTGGTTTTTGCTTCCCTGGATTACCTCTACGAGCATTCCACAAGTGAACCTTTAACACTACTGGCTTATTCAGTCCTTGTCTTGGACTAGAATAACCACTACACGCTATCTATAGCACCAATGCTGTCTTTACAGGGAGAATGCTCTTTGTCCTTTATTTTTGTTGTTTTAACTGTATATAGTGGAGTGACTAATTCTGATCTTCAAAAATTATTCCAGGGAAAAATTCACAAACAAAACCTCCTAGGGAGGGTATCAATGATGAATTCAATCACCTGGATTCACCTGAAACAATAGAGTCCATTGAATCAGGGCAGTCAACATGTTTCCTCTGAGGACACAGAATTGATTTGTTTAATTTCTGAAAGGTCAACTGTTTGGGAAAAGGGAAGGAGAATTCTGCATTCTCTTCCACGGTCTGTAACCTCATCCCTGACAGCTGCAGGGGCACGTGCATGGGGCAGAATCTCTCCTTCTCCTCATCTCCCCCAGCCCCCTTGCTATTCACACACTGCTTGGCAATTTACTTTCATCACCATGTTCTGGGACAGGCTTTACTTGCTAGGCTTCAAACTCTCTGCAGAGTCTTGCCAAGAGAGAGCTCCTCCTTTGGAGCCCCTCAAATCACCAGACCTAAAATCTTCAGTGGATCCTCTTTGCTTAGAAAATAAGGTACAAATGAAGAGAACCAGAAATGGTAGATTATAAGATTAATATAAACAATTACATGAATATGTAGGTGGTCCTCCGTATTTGTGGGTTCTACATCTGTGGATTCAACCAACTGTAGATCAAAAATATTTGGAAAAAAAATTGCATCTGTACTGAAAATGTACAGACCATTTCAATTCTTGTCATTATTCTCTAAACAATACAGTATAACAACTATTTACATGGCGTTTACATTGTATTAGATATTATAAGTAATCTAGGAATGATTTAAAGTATATGGGAGGATGTGTGTAGGTTATATGCTAATACTACATCATTTTATATCAGGGACTTGAGCATCTGCAGATTTTGGTATCCTAGGAAGGTCCTGGAACGAGTCCCTTACAGATATCAAGGGACAAGTGTACTTGCTTTCTTTTCACAACTTCTTTAATCAATATAAAATTATATAAAGTAATAATTATACCAATGTATTGTTGGGTTTGTAACATATATATATAGATGTAATAACAATATAATAAATATAACATTATATTAGACCAGCACTTGTTGTTTAAAAAAAAAAAAAGAAAAAAAAAATAAATAAATATAACATTATAATAATAATACAAAAAAGGGGAAGAAGGAATAGAGTTATATAGGAGGAATATTTCTATGTCTCACTGGGAATAAGTTACTATAACTCTGAAGTAAGTTCTGCTAAGTTAAGATGTACACGGCAAGCCTAGAGAAACACTAAGAACATACCCTTAAACAAAGACATCACAAGTAAACAAAACTACAGACCAACACCAATTATGAATACAAATACCAAAATCCTCAACAAAATACTAGCAATCCAAATCCAGTAATATATAGAAAGGATCATACATTATAAAAGTTTATTAGGACTGCCATAACAAAGTACCACAAACTGGGTGATTTAAATGACAAAAATTTATTGTCTTACAGTTCTAGAGGCTAGAAGTCTGAGAACAAGGTGTTGGCAGGGTTGGTTCCTTCTGAGGGTACTAGGGGAGGGTCTGTTCTAGGCCTCTCCTAGCTTTTTGGGGTTCCCTGGCTTGTGGCAGCATAATTCCAAACTTCACATGACATTCTCCTTGCGTGTATGTCTATGTCCAAATTTCCTCTTTTTATAAGGACATCAGTCATTTTAGATGAGAGCCTACCTTAATCCCATGTGACCTCATTTAAACTAATTACATCTGCAATGACCCCATTTGCAACTAACAGTTAGGACTTCAACATATGAATTTTGGGGGAAAACAATTCAATCCGCAACACACACCTTGATCAAGTGGAATTTATTCCAGGAATGCAAGATTGGTTTAACATTTGAAAATTAATCAATTAACACAACATATCAGTAGAATAAAGGACAAAGCACATATGATCATCTCAATAAATGCAAAAAAAGAATTTGGCAAAATTCAATATCCCTTCATGATAAAAATACTAAAAAATGATAGGAACATAAGGGAACTTTCTGAAGCCGATAAAGGGTATGTACACACAACCCCCACATCCCCATCCCCCCACATCATACTTAATGATAAAAGACTGAAAGCTTTCCTCTTAAGATCAGGAAAAAGACAAGAATGTCCACTCTCACTACTATGCAACATTGTACTAGAGGTTCTAGTCAGAGCAATTAGGCAAGAAAATTAAATAAAAGGAATTGATTGGAAAGACAGAAATAAAACTATCTCCATACACATATGGCATAATTTTATATATAGAAAATCCAAAAAATCCACTAAAAAACTATTAGAACTAATAAATGAGTTCAGCAAGGTTGCAGGATACAAGATCAATATAAAAAATCAATTGCATTTCTATATACTTGCAGTGAACATTCAAAAAACGAATATAAGAAAAAATGGATGGTCACATTTGTGCTGAACATGTACAAACTCCTTTTTCTTGTGATTATTCCCCAAACAATAGGGCATAACTATTTACACAGCAGTTGTATTAGGTATTATAAGTAATCTAGAGATGATTTAAAGTATACAAGAGGATATGCATAGGTTATATGCAAATATCATTTTATATAAGGGATTTGAGTACCCATGGATTTTGATATTTGAAGGAGACTGTGTTCAGTACAGATGCAACCATCGACTTTTTCAAATATTTTCCACATGTGGTTGGTTGAAACCATGGATGTGGAACCCATGGATACTGAGGGCCAACTGTATTGTTAAGAATGCAATATTCCCCAAATTGATCTACAAAGTCAACACAATTCCTATCCAAATCTCAGCTGACTTCTTTTGCAGAAATTGACAAGCTAATGTTAAAATCCATATGAAAATGTAAGGGATCCAGAATAGCCAAAACAATTTTGAGAATGAGGAACAAAGTTGGTGGACTTACACTTCCCAATTTCAAACTTACTACCAAGCTACAGTGTTTGAGACTGCATCATACTGGCATAAGGACAGACATACAGATCAATGAATTGGAATTGATCTATATGTCTATAGAATAGAATCAATACATCTATGGTCCATTAATTATTTACAAGGGTACCAAAACAATTAAATGGGGAAAGAATTCTCTCTTCAACAAATAGCTCTGGGAAAACTGGATATCCACAGGCAAAAGAATCATTTGGACCCCTACTTTAGTCCACACACTGTGGATCAAAGACCTAAATGTAAGAGGTAAAATTATTAAACCTTTAGAAGAAAATACAGGCATAAGTTTTCTGACCTCGAATTAAGCAAAAGTTTCTTAAATATGACCCCAAAAGCTTAGACACAAAAGAAAAAAACAAACTGAACATAACAATTAAACACTTTGTGCTTCAAAGGACACTTTCAAAAAAGTGAAAGGAAAACCCAGAATATGATAAAGTTTTTATAAATCATATATCTGATAAGAAACTTGTATCTAGAATATACAAAGAACTCCTACAGTGTAGAAAAAATAACTTAATTTAAAAAGTAGTCAGAGCCTGAGTAGACATTTCTTCAAAGAAGATATACAAATGGCCAATAAGAACATGAAAAGATGTGCAACAATTTTATCCATGAGGAAAATGCAAATTAAAATCAATGTAAAAAAAATAAAATCAGTGTAAAGCTAGCTCATACTCACTAGTACGGCTATAATAAAAAAAATACAGACAATAACAAGTGTTGATGAGGATGCGGGAAAACTGTAACCTTCATACATTGCTGGTGAGAATGCACAATAGTGCAGCCATTTTAGAAAACAATTTGGCAGTTCCTCAAAAGGTTAAACATAAAGTTACCATTTGACCCAGTAATTCCACTGTAGGAATGTACCCTACAGGAGTGAAAATATGTCTACACAAAAATTTGTACATGAATGTTCATGGCAGAATAATTTATAAAAATAGTCAAAATGTGGTAACAACTCAACATCCATCAACCAATGAATAGATGAGATGTTATGTATTCATACAGAATTCTATTTAGCAATAAAAAGAAATGAACTACTGATATATGCTACAACACAGATGAACCTTGGAAACATTATGCTAAGTAAAAGAAACCAGTTGCAGGAGACCACATATTGTATGATTCTGTCTATACGAAATGTCCAGAATAGGTAAATCCACAGAGACAGAAAGTAGATTAGTGGTTGCCCAGGGATAGGGTGGGGGGTTGGATGTGGAACAACTGATAATGGGTACAAGGTCTCTTGTTGGAGTGATGAAAATGCTCTAAAGCATGTTGTGGTAATGGTTACAGAACTCTGTAACTACCGTATTTCCCTGAAAATAAGACAGGGTCTTATATTTATTTTTCCTCAAGAAGACACCCTAGGGCTTATTTTCAGGGGATGTGTTATTGTCCCCTCAAAGTCTCAGCTTGCAGCACACACAGGATGGCCGGGACCTGACAGGGGGAGCTGACCTTGTTGGTGGGGCTGCCCACACCTTTCTGGTCACCTCTGGGATAGTAGCTGTCACGATGGGGCAGATGAGAAGGGCTGCTTGTCTTCTTTACCGCTCCGTGACAAAATGCATGGGTTATGCGCATATGCTGTGTAGCACGCCCATCACTAGGTTTTATTTGGGGGGTAGGGCTTATATTGCACAAATGCTTAGAAATCTTACTAGGGCTTATTTTATGGGTAGGTCTTATTTCCGGGGAAACACGGTATATTAAAAACCATTGATTTGTACCCTTTATATGGGTGAGTTGCATGGTATGTGAATTACATCTCAATAAAGCTGTTTAAAAAAACGAGAGCAAGGTAAAGTTTCTGGAGGCAAAAGTTTATACTGCAGACTATTTTCTTTGGTCCTGGCCCTATTCACCGGGGCCAGCAGACTATATTAGTGAGGAGTTGGCCAAAGACCAAAGGAACTCTCTTGATCTGTGCTTTGCCCTGAGCAATTTATTTTTAAATAACCCTTTGTCAAATTAGACATACACAGTTTAGTTTTGCATATCCTCTCCTAGGGTTTTTGATGTTTTTATCTTGGGGATGAGGAGGGGCATGGAGGATATATTTTCCTTTTTGAAAGATGTGTTGGGTTAAGGGCCAATTGTCAGTTTGAGTTTTCTTGGCCCCTGACTCACGTCCATTTTCAACCACAACCGCTTCCAGTATCAATCACACAGGAGCCAAACTCTCCATGAGCCAGACAGATCTCACTGCTCTGAATTTCTAATTTTCTTTCTTTAATGGATGTGCAGCTGCTGCTCAGTGCTCTTAGAGGTCTAGGTGGGACAGAAGTGATTCAAGGGAGTCATGTAAACAATGAAGGAATAGAGACATTTTGGCACCTGGTCACCCAGTGCTGCTACAATTGTAAGGCCATGGATGAGCATATTCTGAGGCTGGCTTGCCTAGGAGCTGGTTGGGTAGCCTGGGTTAGACTGAGTTCCACAAGTACAGGAGTAAGGGATGACTGGAGGAAAAACTGGGGTGGTGGGGGACAGTTCACGTAAGCTGCCTGGAACAACCTCAATGCTAATGCTCCAAAGGCTACGCTGGACCTGTTTATGAGGCTCCCCAGATTCACTCAGCCTCGCCTGCATCACCCCACTCCCATCCTCAGCCAATTGCTCTGTGGGAAGCCTGGTTGCTACTGCAGTCACACTGCGTGCTTTCACCTCAGCTGGGAGTCAGGGGTGAGGACCAGACTTTTTAGAATGGCCTCCATCAAGCCTGCTGTAATTTTGTAATTACCTGCTGTGATCTAAAGTAGCTCCAGCACAATGGTCTGATCTAACCACATCCACTTCCTTAGCAGCTGTCTGCAGAAGCCAAGTAATAAAACCTGCAAGTATGGGGGAATCAATGCCTGGTAAGATGAACACTGATCAGTGAGAAAGAAGGAAGGAGACAGCAAATAAACTCTTCTTTCCTACCTTCATTCCATCGTTCCACACAACTTCCTCCAAGACAACCTGGTGACTAAGAAACTGGCAACGTTTCCTTACAAGGCTGCAACCAGCTCAGTAACGTAGCTCTTTGCATGTGCTTTCACTGCTTCCTGGGCTCACTTTCCTTTTTCTCTTCTTCCTGCCCTGGGATTATAATCTCCAATAAAGCATGAGTATATAAGCTTTTCTTATGCTCTGTTCTCTAGAAAAAGTGAGTTAAGACAGAGACAAAGGCCAAACACCATATCTGGAAGAATCAAAGAAGATGGGAGACTCAGAAAATCTGGTGAAGATAGGGTCAAAATCAGAGGAAGCAAGGAATGAATAAAAGAGGGTGGGGTTCCTGATCACCACAAATAGTGGTAGATATTCAAAGTGTCTGTCCTCATAGAGTCAGCAGAAGAGGACATGATTAAATGCTGTTATCATGCATGTAAATGCATATGTGCAGGAAGCAAAGGAAAGTTATGTGGTGCAAGGAGAGCCTGTAACAGTGAACTTGATTTACTCTGGGAGGTAAGATTTTTCTGAGAAAATGCCATCTGCAGTGAGATCCAATCCTGGAATCTGATAATCCGGTGGAGGTGAGAGTGAGGGGAGGCTCACTCCAGGCAAAAGGAGTGACACAAAGGCTCTCTAGTGAGAGGCAACATGCTGAGTTAGGGAACAGAAAGAACTCCTTTCATAGAGAAAAAGGTGTCCCCCAGCCATAACTCTCACTTTAAAAAAAAATCTCAACCCACAATATATTTTACATCTTAACCCAGTAACCAACACACATATGTGGACACACACAACTGAAACAAAAGTTCATGAAACAATATTTATCCTTATTGTATGGAGGGAGCTCGCAATAGCTACTGACATTTACATGTGCATGTGCCTTGACACAGCAATGCCACTGGGCCAGTGTACTGTGGTGTTCACTGTAGCATTGTTTGCAGTTGTTTACACAGAGTGAAACAAACTAAGGTAGATATGTAGGTGCTGATGTGAGATGATGTGCCCGCTCTATTGTGAAGAGAAAAAGTAGAACTGTAAATATAATACAATCCCAGTTTGTTAAAAATCTTTATATATGGAGAAGTATATGTATAGAGAAAGGGCTGGGGATATACACAAACTATAGAAGGTGTTTTTCTGAAATTACAGGAGATTTTTGTTTCCAATGTTTATATTTTATTACTTGTACTTTTTGGACTTACATGTATTACTGTTTTAATCAGGAAAAAAATCATAAAAATAAAATTATAACAAACTGGCCAAAAATTGCTTCAGATGTTTCTCATGGGTGCTAATACAGGTAAAGCAACAGCGTACCTTACTAGAGATTCCGTTGTTTTGGTTATTTAAGTAGCAAATTACACCACATTTGACTAAACTGGCATTTTGAATTTTAGCTTCATGGAATCATCATCTATGATTTAATCCTGTGAAACACAGAATTTGAGAAAATCTTAGGTTTGATTTTTACTAGTGCCACCTTCTCCTGCATTGTCAAGAGACTTAAACCTGGGAAGCAGGTGGGCAAATGCCAAATGATCAAAGAACCAATCAGTGGGACTGGAGAAAGCCATCCAAAGGTGTGCTTCCTTGGGGGAAATTTCCCTAGTTATTGTGGGCCTGGCTATAAAAAGGGTGGAAAGTTTTATCAGAAGTGAAAAGCTTTCACTAGCAAGCTTTCATCCATCTGTTACTTGATTGCTTTTACAAAGTACTGTAATAAATCTGGAGACTTCTATTTGGCCTAATTGCTTGGATAAAACTGTACTCTCAAAACTTGGTACCTCAACAATACGGGGCTTTTTACATTGCTCTCTCTCCCTCAATCTCTCCCTTCACCACTGTGCCTTTAACTTTAGAATTTTCTGCTAGGACTGGGCTACATAGCATTTCAGGCCCATCATACTAGATGGGCCATACAGGTGGGGTAAACTCTCTAGTCTCTGAGAGGTTTCCCTGAGGCATTTAGATTAATAATTTACCTTTCTTCAGGAGGAGAGTTTTCTCCTTGAACATATTTGAGGGGTGGGTATCATAATCCTTATTTAGATACTTGATATGAGGCAAGAGAACGGGAGATCTTTCTGGGGGTGGTTTTTAAATTAAATTCTAAAAAGGTAATTTTTAGTGCTGACAGGACCAGAGTCTGCTTATCCCACTCTCTCCCTAAATAAGAAATGCAGCCTTCATACACAGAATCATCCTCACCATATAAAGTGAGTGAGTGAGAAGAAATCTAATCTTTCTTCCTGTGGAACAGACTGCTTTGGCAATGAGCCCAGTCATTCAGGAGTTCTCCATGATCTGTTATTTAAATCCAACTCATGACTGATTTTAGGCAGGAAGCCAAAATGAAAAGCTTGACTAAATATATTTTGGTTTTTCCATCCTGTCCCTTCTTGCCATCTCCAATTTTAACATAAGTGCTAACTCTGAGATCAAGGTCAGATATATAGACACCCGAACGTGAGCACTCCATTAATCCAAAACTAAGCTTCAATGTGATGGGATGCTATTATATTATGAAGTAGGCAACCACCAGGCTGAACTCTAAAATACCCATGATATTGAACTTAAAATACTCTTTGCTACAGCTTAAATTCCAATTCCTCTAGGCTGAATACATCCTAAAAAAGTATGCATTCATCTTTTGTCCCTGGTACCCAGCACAGCGTCTTACAGGCATCCAGGAAATGTCTTCTGAATGGAACTCTTAGGTCTATAGGCCTGTGTTTCCTGTATTTTTTCTCACATTCCACAACTGTTGCTATTCAATCACTTCTCAAAGTCCTCTCATGTTTGCATGTAATTTTAAAAAATAATTTATGTATAATCCATTGAGAATTTATGTGTGTAGCGTAGCAATATAATTTTGCCCCAATCTGAAATGCCACTTTTTAACATACATTCAATTCCCACTGATTTTGAATTCCATTTTATTCTGTTCTTCTGTTTGTCCATTCTTATGCTAGTAACATACTGTTTAAATGATGGCAGCTTTAGAGTATATTTTAGTATCTGATAGGGCAAATTCCTCCATATCATCCAATTAAATTATTCTATTAAAGTATTGATTTGACTTTTTTCACATATAAATTTTATTTTTAAGTTTAAATAAACAACCATACAAACAAAAGCAAAGCCACTTGGAATGACAATTAAAATTTTTGGCAAAAATATATATATGAATTTTTGGAGGACTGGTCTCTCTCTCTCTCTAATACCATGTCTTCTCATCCAGAAACATGGTATACATTAATGTATTCTGCTCTTATTTTATATTCATGAGTAACATTTTATAATTTTTCTTCATATTCACCTTTTATATTCCTTGTTAGAGCATTTCTAAATATTTAATAATGTCATAATAAATAGAAATCTTTATTCTATCACATTGTCTAACACGATTTGGGGGCATTTATTTTATATTCTACCATTTTATTGAATTCTTATTTTGTATGAATAAATAAATTAGAATGAATATTAGAATTGAATAAATTCATTCATTTATTCATCTAATTGATCAACATTTATTGAGTCCTTATCACATGCTGGGCATTTTCCTACATATGGGTACACAGTAGGGGACAACACAAATGTATATTAGGGAATATACTTTGCTGTAAACCCTTACCTCCTCCCCTAGCTTAAATGAATGAATTTTGCTTTTCTCACAAATGTGAAATCCTAAGTAGGCAGTTCAGGGCTGCTTTGGTTACTCCACAATGCCAAGATGGATTCAGGAACGTTCTAGCACTCTCTACTGGGTGCTAGCCACTGTTTGACCTCAAGCATTCCCAGCATTCTATCTGCATTCCAAGCAGGAAAGAGGGCAATGGCAAAGGAAGAAAAGCATGACAGCTGAGCTTGATCTCCCCACTCATTCTAACCTTCCTGGAAGCCTACCCCATGACTTTTACCTACATTCAACTGGCCACATCCATTTCCATTAGCCACTTTACTGCTCCCCTCAAATCAGGAGAATAGGAGAAATCTGAATAAGCATCTGGCTTGCCCTGCCACAACAAGACAAAATTCTTGTCCTTATGGAGAAGTTCAAAAATTTTTGAGCTGAGGGTCTTGGATGATTTTCAACAACTCAGTCTTGGACCTCTCCTCTACTTAATCTCTATTCATTCCATTGGTGATGTCATTCAGTCTCATGGCTATAAGTGCAATTACATGCTGGCGACTTCCAAATTTACATTTCTAGTCCAGCCCTCTCCTCTGAACTTTAGATCTGCACTTGGATGTCTAATGAGTATCTCACATTTAACCTGTCCAAAATGAATTCCTTCACCAAAACTGTTCCTCCCACTGTCTTCTTTACCTCAGTAGATAATTCTATACTCACAGTTGGTTAGGCCATCCTAGACTACTGTCTCTCACATCTTATGCCAGGAAATCCTGTTTGGTTCTACCTCCACTTTCTAACTACATCCAGAATCCCACCATTTCTCACCACTTCTACCACTAACATTCTGATTCCAGTCACCATTATTTTATGCCTGCATTACTGTAACAGCCTCCTAAAATCACTGTCCACATAGCTAATCCTTCTGAATTCTCAGTTCTTGACCTCCTCTTCTCTAATGATCATATCCTCATCCTCTATTTCTGCTACTTATTCCACCATCATTTCCTATACTGTCATTACCAAAAACTGCAACCCCTCTTAGAATCTCAAGATTATGCATCCCACTTCTGCCAACCACTCTTATCTACCCATTATGTCCTCTATTATTCCCACTCCAACATCCCTCTGACTCCCTCAGGGCCCATAATCCTTTAAGTTTACACTTTTCCACTGCCCCTCACTTTCCCCTTATACTCACTTTTCTTCTTACTGAGCTTAAATTCCATGGTCAATAATTTCTTTGTTCACATGACCTCAACTTCCTTGCCCCTCTCTCTATTGTATTCATTGGGTAAACTCCCAAACCTGATAAAATCACCTCGTCACCTACCCTGGGCCTGCACCCACACTGCTGATGTGGCTGGAGAAAAATATATAATCAAGCTGACTGATCCTGCATTCCATGCACGATCACTAACTTCAAGTAGAACATTTAACACTGCCTGGAAATCATTCTCTGTTTCCCTAGGCTTTTTACTCTCATTCTCATCCATTTCTTACTTTTTCCTTTCTTCCCAAACCTCCAACTCCTTTTCCTTCTGATGTTCAGTCTCATATGATGACATTCCTTCATATTCCAATGAAAGAAATAGAAAAAATCCGGAGAGACTTCCCCATGAGCTTCCCCACTTATCTACCTGCACCTGTGCCCACTTATTCAATCTTTTCTCTGTTCATCTGAATGAACTCTGTGTATTCCTATCTTAGACCAATCCCTTGTGCACTAGATTCCATTTGATCTCATATAATTAAAGATATCTTTCCAGTAATTCTCTCATCTTCTATATCATATTTTCCTATTTTACTGAATAATTTCCATTTGTATACATTATTTCTTTTGTCTTAAAAAAATACAAAACTCCTTGCTTGATTCCATTTCCCCTTTCTAGCCACTATGCTATTTCTCTTCTTCTTTTACAGCTAAACTCCCTGAAAGAATTGTCTATATTTACTGTCTCCAATCTAACTCCTTCCACTCTCTCTAAGCTTCATCCAATAAGTTCCATCCTCACCATTTACTGAAAACAACACTTATTAAGGTCAATGAAGCATTAGTTCTAGTTAACTTCTGACCATCTTTCACAACTCAGTCAAACCCCACTGAAACATTTTCTGACTTTTCTAAGTCAATTCATCTATTATATGCTGTCACCACTACATCACTTATCATGATTGTAATGTTATATTTTTATATAATTCTTCAATTAATGATTCTTTCTTCGTCAATGGACTCTAAACTCCGTAAGGGTAGGGATAATGTCTATATTTCTATCACAACTGTATGGTCAGTGTCCAGTGCCTGACACATGGGAGGCCACCTATAAATGTTTAGGGGAATAAATGTTTTATTATTATCACCCCCATTTTAAACTTGGGAAAAGGAGGCCTACAGAGGCAAAGATACCAGTTCAAAGGAACAACATGGATTACTGGTAGAATAGGGACTAGGAATGGTAAAACATAATGGATCACTATTGATCCATTTTTGATCCAGTTTTGAAGTTGTAATGATAAATGAGATGTGCGCCTTCTTCTCCAGCTAGGACTAAGAGAGCCTTCACTAAGCTAGTACTAATGCCATGTTTGGGCTGGACAGGACAAACCACACAATCTAGTGCAATGTCAAGCCCTTATTATGCCCATACAGGCTTAGCTGCTAGGTCAACAGAGCATCTTCACATTGTCAGCTGCTCTTGTTTCTGTATCCAAAATGCTCAGGGAGAAGGCCTCTTCCCAAAAACATTCATTTGAAATTACATCTGAGGCTTCAGAATAAGACCCTTCAGGTGCCTATCACTCATTACTGATCTACAAATTATGAACCAGGAAGATCACTGGGAGGAGTAGGAAAATCAACTTAAAGTTATAACATTAAGATCCATTGTTGGTTGAAGACCAGTAAGAAACACAGAAAAAGCACTTCAGAAATGAAATTGCTAGGCAAATAGGACTTGAGATATACAACTTTTAAGGAGTCTACTGCATTAAAAAGATCTATGTATACGAGTTGGAAGGCCATTTTGAGAATTGCAAACCACCAGGCAGAACTGTCATGAAACACACAGTTGTTTTTACTATTTTGTAAGTTATTACTACTAGATGATTACATGATTTATTATCCAAAATGGGGCACTTTGAGAATAAAAAGAGGCAACATTAAAAATTATGCAAGGACAATGGGTGTTTACCAGGACTGTCCCAGGGAAACAAACAGGACTGCTCACCCTTTTAGTAACCATTCTCCACTCATTATGCCTGGAGAAAACCAGGTACTCATTCAGTCATACAAATATCTTCATTAGGCAAATCAACAACAACAGCACTTGTCAGAATGGATAGGATACCAGTCCTATGTGGGCTTTATTAAGTCATTTTGACCCTGAATGGTCACACCAATACTTATCATCTCCAATGAATAAAAACAGAATATAGTCATTTCCTTTATCTACTTATTTTTGCTTTTTAGTATAACCTCAAATTCCTGGTCTCAAGCATTCCCCTGCCTCAGCCTCCTGAGTAGATGGGACTATAGGCTCACACCACCACACCTGGGTAATTTAAAAATTTTTTGTAGAGATTGGGTCTTGCTATGTTGCCCAGGCTAGTCTTGAACTCATGGCCTCAAGTGATCCTCTTACATGGGCCTCAGGCCTCCCACTATGCCTGGCCTCTACTTATTTTTCTTGTTCCTTCACACATGATCTATATGTGTCTTTTAAAAAGATCTATATCTAGTCTTTAAAAAGGCCATTTCTATCCCCATTTAAAGATTAATCCTGATTTAAGAAACAATATAGTGTTCTGTGCTAAGTCAAACAAAACCATTCTTCAAATTTCCAGAGGCTTCTCTCTTCCCCAAAGGTGCCATCACATGAATTACATCTTTCTTTATCAAGATTGACTTCTAGGTCGTTCGCTGAATCAGCACAGCAAAGACAAGTCACTAGCTACAAAACTTTATTGTTGGAATCAATACATATATCCTTCTGAGAAATGTTTTGAGCCAGTCACTTGATGGTTATGAACATATCAGAATCTGTTGTACTAATATATTTTTGGTTTGCTTGGCAAGGGAAAATAAAGATTATTGCAAAATTATGAATCATAAAAAAATCTATAAAATGGGAGGATCAAATACTACCAGCCCTAGTGTGTCAACAAACATTGTATAATTCAAATCAAGAAGACAATTCCATACAATTCTAACAAGGCAGATGTTGGCATGTAGAAGTGAAGCAATCTGTTATACAAAATGCAAATAGAGTTAAAAACAAATTACAAAAAATAAAAAATCAAATTTTGGTCAGAAAACCATTACTACATAAAGCCATATAAGGATGTCTATTAGTTGTTTTCTTTAAGGGGAAAAGAAATCAAGCTATTTGTTTTCTATTTATTCAGAAGGACAAATAAAGAAAGTGTTTGGAAAATATTCCTGATATTAAGTGAAGACTTTCTCACCTGCTATCTAGACTTCACAAACATCTGACTTATCTTTGTCAACCTTTAGAAAGGAGGCAATAAAACCAGTGTTTAGCCTTCAGTGGGACACTCACAACACCCTAATGAGGTCCAGAGTAATCCTAGATCGGGGAATGTCAATGTTGAGTACCTGGACTTCCACTCTTTCTCCAGGGCCCAGTCCAAGGCTCCTTCTCTTCTTTGTTTTAGAAAGTTTTGCTTCTGTTACATTTCGTATGGGAATCAGCCCTGATCTCCCCACTCCTATATCCACAAAAATTCCAAACAGAGTGGCATTTTCGACTTTGCCCGTAAGAACTGTCCCAACCTGCAGATCTTCCAGGCACACTATGCTTCTCTTGAAATCAGGCTTATCAAAATCTATAAGGAAAGGAAGAAAAGTTAGCAGTAACTAATAAGGCATTGTACTTCCTAGGCACATTAGTAGGGGCATAAAAGGAGCTGAAGACACAGGCTTGCTTTCAGAGAAAATGCATCCTGGTCAAGGAAACAGCATTTGCACACTAGAAACAATTTTTAAAAATTTACTCAAACACTTTCTTCTCCCTAAACTCTATCTCACTAGCAGGTACACACTATCACTGTACATGAGGACAGAGAGTAGTAGAGAGTCTTATTTTTCTTTCTGTGAGATGATGAGAATATATCTTTGCTCAATGAATATACAAGGCTAAATCACAAACACTGAGAAAGTAAGATCCTTGAAGACAGGAGATTGGGAGTGCCCCAACCCCATCCAGTGCTTGGTTTTTAAATTGTTTAAAGGTGGTAGAAAATACATCAATTTTTGGTTACATATGGATGAAATTCAGATGTTCTGTCTCCTTATTTCTTCATACAAATTTGGAACTCAGAAAAGCAATTCCTATCCATTTCAAATATATTCATACACTCAAAATTCATGGATTCTTGATTATCTATGGCTCAGAAACCGAAACCAACTAGTACCTAATCTTTCTCTTCTTTCAATTCAATTCATCAAACATTTATTTACTCCTATTATTATCTCCCAGCCAGGCACTCTGCTGGGTGCTAGAGATACAAAGATGAGGACACTCAGATCTCTGTTCTCAAGTTCCTTATGCCCTCTTTTCTTGCTTGCTTCAGTGTCTGTTTCTCTGCTCATTAACACTATCCCCCAAAAGGTGGGTATAAAGCATGCCAAGGAATCATTATGGCTCTAGTTAAAACAAAAACAACAACAAAGGTTTTATGAGGGAGACATTTAGAACTAACAGTTGAAATGGGGCTTGATGATCTGTGGGCTCCATTTATCCATGCTCTAAACGAGGGCCCCCTTTCCTAGGATTACTGAGTGTTGACTCTAATAACAAAGAACACATTCTGTGCTTGGATCTCCATTTACTAAGACCTCATTCTCCCCTCCACCCATTCCATTTCCTTTTCCTCCACAGCTGTTGGCTTTATCCTGATTACTTGTTAAAGCTATCCTTTACATTTGTATTAACAACTGGTCACCTTTCTTCCCCTCCCCTAGTCCAACCATACTGAAACCAAGATGTTTTAAAAATTAAGCTCTTTCCCGTAAAACAAAACAAAAACCCTCTTTAAACCCCAGATCTCATTTTCCTCATAAAATAAGAATATGCAAAGCTGGAATTGATTCTGTAGAATTTCACCTGATGCTAAAATGGTGAATTCCAAAAGCAAGAAACCTAATGCAATGTAATTTAATATTACACTGGGCTAGGACTGTGTCAAAGCAAAGTGAAACTAAGTCATTGATCACGGCCAGGGGTAGGATGGTCTCTGAGGCACCAGAGGCATTGTTTTTATGCTTGGAAATTCTTTTTTCCTCTCTTTTCTTACAGAAGTCCAGCTGCTGCAGATTCCCAAAGGGTTCCTGATCAGCTGCTCACAGTTTAATTTTGCATAGAAAATTACAGTCAGGAACTACTTAACTTGTTCCTGAAGACAGTCTGGGACACTGAGAAATCAGAAAATCCTCTGTGCACCATGCAAACTTTAACACTTTCATAGCCAAGGCTGCACAGTCAGTCCACTGTCACCAGGCTGTTCTGATAAACCCAATTAGGGAAACTAAGTAGTAACCAGAGTGTTAATAAAAATAGAATTGATTATGTCACTGAGAAAACAGAAGACAAGATGAGTATGAGGAAAGGATGAGGCATTAAGAAAAGAAATACTCTTGAGACAATGGAGAAAAGAGATGTAACATAAATACTGTAATGTGGAAACACCCAAAATACTATCTGCCCCCTCAAAAGTATGGTTCATCTGCCTTCCTTCTTGGGGATGTGTTTAGCAGTAAAACAAAAGTTCTCAGACATCTTGAAAATTGTGACTTACATTAGGGCAAAGGTCAGTTCCAAAGTTTGCTTAAAGAGACCTATCTGAAATTTCACTTGTCACACTGATAAACCCTGCAGTAACTGGAAAGCTCAGTCCAGAGCCCAGGTACATCTGTGTTTCTGCTCAACTTGGTTGGTTGTTAATTGGACCATATATTTAGAGTGTTGATCTTTGCTCCGAGTCTATAGTATGACTGGGATAATGGAGCAATCATCACCCTGACAAAAAAATGAAGATGGACATGCAAATCCAGTACAGGGTACTTGCAGTTAGAGTATGTTTGCCAACCTTCTAATATAGTGGATGTAGTGGATGTGCACATCTCACACTTTTTGAGAACCACTGCTCTACTTGGTATATCCCTGCTAGACAACACCCATAGGATTCCCATAAAGGGATAACAGGGCTCCAAATGGAGATGGATTTGTCTGCTGAAACATCCACTTTGTGTGGAGGACCATCTGGAGACTTCTGCTCCCACATTTTTGGCATAGATCTTACTGGGTGTTATTTTATTTAACTTTTAAAAAAAAATTTAAAACCTACAGAATAGTTAAGGGAACAGCACAACGAACTTTCTGGGTGTGTTTTTAAATTCTCTTAAACCTTTTCAAAGAAACATATCTAACCACCTCAACATAGCCTAAATCAGAATAAAAGCACCAAGCCCTAAATATGATATCATCAAAAATGGTTATGAGATGAGCATGCAGATTCATTTAAATCTCAGGGCTTCCTGTTCAAACTTCCCTTGGGAAGTAGGTCATTTGATACCGTAATTCTTTTTCACCGGGTCATTGCTCTCAACAACTATGGCTGTTATATTTCCCTCACCATCTATCTGTGCTGAAAGTAGAGAGCACTTTTAATTAGAAGGAAAATCAACAGAGAGATATTATCTTATTTGTTCAATGGATTCAGTGACACAGAATCCAAGAACTTGGAAGACTGTAATCTAGGAAGATTCACTTTTTAGCTTGTGAAATGAATGCTTTACCTTAGACTTCTGCCTCCTAGGAGATAAAAACAGCTTAAAAAAATCATGAAAAATGTGTGCTTTCATGCAAATAGTATATGTATGATGCATGTAGTCTAGTATAATGGCAAATACATGTGGATAAGGAGTCTGGAGACCACCTGGCTTCCAGCTTTGTCACTGGATATTAACTATAATGACTTTGAAGGAAGGACACTATATGTATAGAATGGGAGAAGTATTTGTTTTGCCTATGGCATAGGATTTTTCTGAGGATCCAAGGAGATAATATGAGCTTTATAAATGCAAACTGCCATAATTCAAGTTCAATTGTTTACCTGTTCGAAAGTCAAAACTTTCAGGCTGGCTGAGACCATCTATGATCACCTGTAAAGTATGGACTGTTGTTTGTAATCTTTCTGCAATCTTCTCTATTCCTTCTTTTTCAAGGAATGAATTTATTTTTTGTTGCATTTCAGGCTTTCCAATCTCACGGACTGTCCCTCCAACAGATGATAAAAACCTGCAGTGAGAGAAAAGAAAAGCCCAACACTTATCAATATTACTCCTTTTCTAATCTACTTATTCAGCTCACCCTAAAATCCATTCATCTCGGATCCACACATCATTCAATCAGTCTTTACAGAAAATATACTACGTATCCCATGTTATGATAAATAGGTGATCTGTCGTGAGGAAAAAAAGTGGAGGGATGAGAAGGAGGTTGATTTAGGTTCTTGTGCTATTTTTTAAATAAAGTACCTGCTCAGAGTCAACACCAAAAACATCTTACAGTGTAATGTTCATTATAGTTTAGTGTCATATATATTTATAGTGTCATATATATTTTCTAAATAAGGTTATCTATATTTACCTCATTTCTTGAAATTTCAGTTAGGAAAACTTATTTGAATTTAAATTAGCAAACAGGCAAACAATTATTTGGTGATACCAAATTATGATGATGATAATGATACCAACAATAATGATGATGATGATGATACCAACAATAAAATACGCATCAAGTATTGCCAATTTTTTTTTTTTAAGAGTCAGGGTCTCACTCTGTCATGCAGGCTGGAGTGCAGTGGTCCAATCATAGTTCAATACAGCCTTGAACTCCTGGGCTCAACCAATCCTCCCACCTCAGTATCCCAAGTAGGTGGGACTACAGGCATCAGCCACCATGTCCAGCTAATTTTTTTTCTTGGTAGAGATGGGATGTTGCTATGTTGCACAGGCTTGTCTTGAACTCCTGGCTTCAAGCTACCCTCTCCCTCGGCCTCCTAAGTAGCTGGGACCATAAGTGTATGCCACCCCACCTAGCTAATCTTTAAATTTTTTTATAGAGATAGGCATCTCACTATGTTGCCCAGGCTGGTCTCAAACTCTTGGCCTCAAGCGGCCTTAGCCTCCCAAAGCACTGGGATTACAGGTGTGAACTACTGTGTCCAGTCCCAGCTTTTGACAAATGTATAACTCTATTCATGTGCCATATCACTGCTTTTTACTTCTGTGTGGCCGTGACAGGAATATTACCTGTGTAGCACATTATCAAGTGCCTTGAGTATTCAGAGTCAACAGAAAAATTATGAGGGGGGATATCAAAAATAAAAAGTAACTTTCTTCCAAAATGGAAGACCTCAATTATATAATCTAAAGATAAATGTTATCTTTATTCATGTTATATATTACATAGCTGCCCTATTTGCAAAAAAATACCCACCTTTTAAAATTTCCTTTTGCTATGATCACCATTTCTTTTGCTTGCACAGCTGCCTCTCAGTTATTAATACCCAGCTTTTGAATTCAATAATAAATTGATGAACAAAAAACAATTAAAGGGTTAAGATGCATTTCCCTACAATTTCATGTGAATATCAGGCTGTAGCTTACTTTCTTGACATTCCTTGGCTGGCTATTTTTCTACACCATTAAGTTCCATTTCCTATGATTAATGGCACTTTAAAAATGTCAACACAGTAATCAGACAGATAGTGATACTAATGCCCTCAAACCCTTTCCTCTAAGGGTATCTCTAGAATACAAGAAGGGAAAAAGGAACTGTAGGAGGTTTGTCTATAATCAGAATTGGGATGTATCCTATTTGGCAGGTTGCTGCATCATCATAAACGCCATGCTTGTCATTCCAATCTTTTCTGCATTGTTGTTGTGTTCAACCAGAAAAGGCTTCTTCAGTGATACTCTGATGCTGACAATTTGGTATCTAGTGGAGAAAACTCTCCCATCTCTCACTGAGCATCTCTCTGGGTTTAAATATGTAACCCTCATATACTACTATAGCCATATTTTTGGTAAAAAACAGATTTTCCAGCATGCAGCCAATTCTCTTGGTAATATACTCTGGTTAATAGTGTAATAAAAGACCAAGGAGTTAGTGCTCGGTCTCCCTCTTTGGAAATGAGCCTCCATCCAAACCAGTGGCTAGTGAGAGATACACACTGAGTCTGTGTGTTTGTGGCTTCCTTAGCACAGTGGAGAGGCAGCTGGTATCTGTTAGCACTGATGGATGGGCAGTAGCACACAAGGGCCCTGGTGACAGGGAACAGCTGCTGGAGCTCTGACTGACGGGGCAGATGACACATGACAACCTCTGCCCACAGCCAACTTCCTTACACAACTTTCTAAATAATTCATGCCCTGCTGAGCAGGCTTCCCTGGTATTTACCCTCTTGGCTTTATTGGTCTGTAACTGGCTACTTAGCAGAACATCTTTCAAATCCTCAAGATTTTGGCTTATAATCATCTGTTAAAATGCCAAAAAGTGTATTCATGGGCTGTAAATCTAAAACTTTGAATAGCATTTTATTATTAATAAAAGCAACTAAATGGCAGAAACTTCCCAAAGAACTGTACAAGTCTTGGCTTCAATAGCAAAAACATCGGCTCAGCAGGCTACTTAGAGTTTTAAGGGTAAGGGTGTGGGGGTATATGTGTATGAGAAAGGAACACTAACTGCTATGAAAGTCACTTCCATATAAAGAATTCTGCTTATAGTGGTTGCAGATGTAAGAAGAAAATTGGTCTGTTTAACCTGGGTGCATATTTCATATATCATTTTCATTCCCACACCATAAGCCTGAGGGCATTGGTAACTGAAATCAATAAAAAAGCACCAAGTTGTACTCTTAGCTAGTGCTTCATATTGATCAACCCTATTTTTAAATGACTACAGGACATAGTCAAGTGCTTTTTTATTTTGAAAACTTTTTAAAAGTTAACAACAAGGGCACACAAAAAAAAGAGCAAAGGGAGGGGGACTATAAAATGAACTTGGAATAGCATTCAGATTGATCTCTCCCTTACTGAATTTCAAATGTATTTAACTGTATATGATATGTATTTAACTGTATATGATATGATAAAGCAATATTTTATGCTTAGTAGCCATTCAATAAACATATGCTCCTTAAATATTCAAAGAAAAATTTATTCTACATAAATTTTCACTTTAGAATTGAGTGTGATGATTAATACTCAATACAAAGTATTTTATTTTATTTTATTTTATTTTATTTTATTTTATTTTATTTATTTGAGACAGAGTCTCACTCTGTTGTCAGGGCTAGAGTGCTGTGGCATCAGCCCAGCTCACAGCAACCTCAAACTCCTGGGCTCAAGCAATCCTCCTGCCTCAGCCTCCCAAGTAGCTGGGTCTACAGGCATGCGCCACCATGCCTGGCTAATTTTTTCTATATATTTTTAGTTGGCCAATTAATTTCTTTCTATTTTCAGTAGAGATGGGGTCTTGCTCTTGCTCGGGCTGGTCTCGAACTCCTGAGCTCAAACGATCTGTTTACCTCAGCCTCCCAGAATGCTAGGATTATAGGCGTGAGCTACCGTGCCCGGCCAATACAAAGTATTTTTTATCTTGAAAGTACCAAATAAAAATACACTACTTTATTAAGCTTGGAATACAGAAGGTAAGTGAACATATACTGATAAATACATGTCAGACATTATGGTGGATAGATATTCTCATTTAATCATGATAATAATCCTAATGGGAGGTATATGACACAGAAAAGGAAAATTGAGGTTCAGAGAGGTTAAATAACTTGCCCAAGGTCATGCAGCTCTTCTTAGTAACTGCAGTTTCATGCTATAGACAATGTATGTGTCTGTGTATAACTGAAGGTATATAAAAATTAAAGTGCTGTATTTGGTTAAGATAGAAAACAATACTTTCAGTAATATTTTACTAACACAATTTAATGTCAGATTACTTTTATTATTTTTTAAAATTTTATTTATTAATTTTTTGAGACAGAGTTTTGCTCAGTTGCCCTGGGTAGAGTGCCGTGGTGTCATCACAGCTCACTGCAACCTCAAACTCCTGGGCTCAAGCAATCCTCCTGCCTCAGCCTCCCAAGTAGCTGGGACTCCAGGCACACACCATGTTGCTCAGCTAATTTTTCTACTTTTAGTAGAGATGGGGTCTTGCTCTTGCTCAGGCTGGTCTCCAACTCCTGAGTTCAAGTGATCCTCCCTCCTTGTCCTCCCAGAGTGCTAGGATTACAGGCATGAGCCACCATGCCCGGCTATGTCAGATTACTTTTAAACGTTAAACAGTTAACACTGAACAAATCCCATAAAGAAATTATTATACACATGCTTTAAAAAAGACATTTCTCTCAAAAGTCAGTGAGTTATTAAAGTCATATTCTCATTTTCCCCACTGTCTCTGGAAGGCTTTTCAGTTCGCTAAGGACTGCTGTTTGAGCTGCTGTTTTTATTTAATATGTAATTTCATCCATCTTACTTAAAGTAAGAAAGTAGCATAAATGCAACAAATAAGCACATCATGTTCTTTTAGCACACATCTGTACAAAGTTAAAATACAGACGTTGCAGCAAAGATGATGCTTACTTTTAAAACAGAATGCTATATAAGCTAAAATCACTGATATTTTCAACAGAAACTAGTTATAAATGTAGACGTTTTCCCCTCTAAGACTAAGAAAAGTCTCAGTAAGACATTTCTCAAAGAATAAGAAATTCTCAAGATTCATAAGACTTTAGACATCGCCATTCAGTTTTATGTAATCATTTCCAGCATGGAGATTTAGGAGCTGAGGACTCGGTTCATTACATTAAAGCAACATGATACCCTACAGAGCACAGAAGAACCAGGGTGATGCAACACAATCACTTTAAAAACAACTTAATATTAGCATGTGCTTTGTGGGCAAAACACATATGATTTATAACTCCACTAAGAACCATGATATAAGGGCAAAGGATTCTAGTTGTCTACGCACTCTCAACACTTTTAAAAGACTTTCCTACTTGTTGATTTTTATCCATTAGTTTTATTCGGTTTTAAAGTAATTACATCAACAAGCAAAAAGCTAAATGCAGAAGCACATCATTTTAGAAATGAATAGGTATACACACATACAGAGCAGATCTTAATTTGTAATACAAGTAGACATAATGATTTAAAAAGAGAGTTTATACTTACTCTAAGAGAAAATCTGGCCTTGCAAACTGTGATTGTAGA